GGGGGGGGGGGGGGGGGGTGGTCTCCTGAGACCCCGCCATGCAGCGGCATCACGATGCGCCGAGGGCCGTATCCTTCCTTATTTTTCTTACAAGAACACATCCGAACAATTTACCTCTTCCACAGATAAAGAGTCTGCGATAGATTACCAACGAAGTAATAAGTCTTGATTGACGACCAACTTGAATTTCTACGGTTTCCCCGGCCATTGCCCTCTTTTTTCCGTCTATCATCATTCCATCCCTTTTGTTTTCCTCCCGTCGGTTGTCCTTCTTTGTTGATTGACTGTTTTTCCTTTCTTTTTGTTTTGTTTTTCCCCCTCTTCGTTCTTTCTTGTCTTCGTTTGTCCTTTGTCCTTTTTTGTTTTTGTTTCTACCCTTTCCTCTCACCCGAAGAGGTTAAGGAACCCGAAGACCTCGATGGCGAGCCCGATGATGGGGTGCCCCGTGAACACGAAGAAGAAACCCACCGCAAAAATGACGGATCCCCTGAGCTTAGAGGCCTGTTCAGCGCAAGGACCCAAGCACCACGAGAAACAGAAGGCGTTCGCCAGGGAAGGGGCGAGGTACTCTCGGGTCATTGCATGACAGCACGTTGACCATTAGGTTACCCATCTCTCGTACGACCCGGCACTGTCTCAGCTAAAACTTGATGCTGAAGTACTCTTAAGTCATTGCTTGCGTGAATGTGGGACCACTGGGTATGCATCTCTCCAAGACGACCGAGCCTTGTTGTGTTGCCAAAACTAAAACGTGACAACAAGACCGCGGGGGGTGGGGTTGAACCATTGCCTTTCGTCACAATAGCTACAACATGCGGGGGGGTATGTACATGTGGATGCAAGGTCTAACTGCTGCCTAATGGCTCCCACAACTTACTCCATGCCCACCACACGGCCCCAATCAGCAAGCAGTGACTGACTACAGCAGTACTTTAACCGAAACGACAAAAAGAAAACACACCTACCTGAGTGAAGTACCGCACGACGTTGCTGGGGCCGATGAAGAGCGACATTCCTGCTACGAACCCGAGCTTTCCCAAGGATGGCGTCAAGGACAGCGTCAACGGCAAGGACAATGGCAACGGTAACGTCAAGGACAACGCCATCAAGGGGCTCGCATGAAGCCACCACATCGTTAGCAGTCGTTGCACCCCCCCNCATGCACGACTATGAGTATGAGTACCCCCCCCCCCCCCCCCCATGACCACACGACCGATGGATGGACATGACTCACGTTACCCAAGCGGATGAGGTTCTTCTCGAACATGAGCGACACCCCCATCATCGTCAGCAGGATCGACCCCGCCAAGGCGTAGATACCGTACTCTGACAAGACAAGAGGACACGAGACAGGGAACGAGATGGACATGACGAGGTACGTCGTTACTAGTGTCTACGATGATACTCTGGGATAAAAGGACACCAGACAGGGAACAAGGTAGACAAGACGAGGTACGTGGTAAATGCAAGTATTGTCTGTAAGACAAGGACAACATACAAGATACGCCGTTGATGGTGTCCGTACGATAGTACTTTGGGATAAAAGGACACGAGATAGGCAACAAGATCGACTATAATAGACGAGGCCCGTCGTTACAGCATCCATATGACAAGGACAAGAAACAACAAGATACGCCGTTAACAGCAGTGCCTAAATTAATAACAAGAACCTACACGAATCAAGAACAAGCCAAGATACGAACAAAGTGGTGTAGTGTCTGAACAAGACGAGATAAGAAAAGGTGCGTCGTTCAGTGCCTGAAAGAAAGGGATAAGACCGAGACAGGAAAGTCGCACACTGTAGTACAGTGCTGGGGTCGCTGTAGTGCAGGTTGAATAGTGCAAGTGCCCGATATAGTGCAGGACCTGCACTGTTGACAGCGGTCCCCCTATAGTGCAGGTTGGGCACCGCTGTGTCCCACAAAAGTGCAGGTTGGACGCACCACACACAAAATTAACCCTTTTGCTCTCCTTCGCTCTTTGCATCAGTGGCTTCCTAGATTCGAGCGAAGGCATTTGTATAGCTGAGATGTGTCTCTACGTGAAACAAAATGTAGAGAGAGTCGTATTGGCATTCCCATTTAGCGCATTGCGCATTTTTCGAATTTTGGCCCCCTTGCAGGGACCTTGCTTTCCACCCGCTGGCACTGACGTCTTTTAATTGGTCAGCCGGTTAGCGCGGTCGATGCTAATGATAAAAACACACACACGAAGACACACGGGCAGTGGACAGGCGCAACACAGAAACGAGGGTACACGTAGACACGAAGAGCTCTCCGCAGCGGGGCACCCTGCCTTGTGCAGACGGCGAAAGGTGCCATCAACAAGACAAAACGCCGCGAGCCCCTGGCAGACGTGGCCGTCAGGGAGGATGTGGCGGGCGGCTTCACGGCAATTGCGGCAGCATGTTTCAGGACGCCGAAAGCCACCGCACCTGCAGCTTAGATGGCGATGATAGCAGCGCAATACGCCTAAGCGTGTGCGCCAGGCAGACGAGAGAATTTTTCGCGATGTAGTGAGGGCGGGGGGTACAGCTGTAGCAGTAGTGAGTGGTGGTTTGTTTTCTTGCAGTGCGCTTCCTATCGTGTTCCTTTTTGTTTGTTTGTTTTGTTTGGTGTTTTTATCTTCCAGCATCGAAGGAAGGCAACGAGGACTGACATTTAGCTTCGTCCACGACGTACGTTATTAGAGTTGGTTCGCGCGACAAGTTCAGGGTGTGCAGTACAGTACTAGTGCTGAGGCAGGAAACAATAACGGTGCAACATGCAAGTATTTCTTGCACAACATCTCTGTGTGCGACAGGGGAGAACTTTACACGCGTCGCGAGACAGTCTGTCCACGCCCACGCTAGAATAGGGCCCAGCAATACTGCTATTCGATTCACTTCGTACTCTGGTAGCCCCGTAGAGCACACACCATGAAGTCAAACATCTCAATAGTGCAGTACCTGCACCATTGAGGGATTTTCAATACCTCAATTGTGCACGACCTGCACTATTGAGGCACAATACTGACTAGTGCAGGTGCCTGCAATAGTGCAGGTACAGTCTCTGGACACACCCCTGCACTATAGCGCCCCCCGCACTGTATCCGAATGACATAACGCAATCATTGCCGTTGCAAACACCAAGCTCTTCGAACGTCCCCGCCCTCCGACTAAAAATCACAGCTAGAACAGTCCACGCCTAGGAAATTCCAGGACCACACCGTACGGGATTCCAATTCGTTGTTTGCGCTCGCGTACAATCCCTCTACAGCATGCTGGCCTCTTCGAATACCGAGCCTCCACATTGCGGCGGAACATCGTGACAAGCCAGAGAGAGCAGAGCATTCCCATCGACGATGTACAAGCAGCTTTGTATGTGGACGGGTAAATAACTCACTCTTGTTTCCGTTGGTTATGGTTCCGGTCAGGTCGAATCCTCCCGCGCCGCTCTTGCCTCTTCCTCGCCCCCCCCTCTTCGAACTCCCTCTCCTCTCTTCGTACGGGTCGTATCGATCTCCCCTCCCTCCTCGGTCATCCCCCTGGATAGCGATACGACCGATACATATGAAAAAAACCGCGTTGTCAGGCGAGAGAGAGAGTGGTAAATCGACCCATGGCAGATGACGCAGCAACGACAGCGACATGGCCGTAGCACAAAACACAACGGTCGCCCGATCGGCATTTCCCAGCCCTCTTCCTTCCTCCCCTCTCCCCTCCCGCTCCTTTCCAAGAACAAACGAACAAACTCCAACCACGTACCATACCGTGGCTCAAAAGCTGAAAAACACTCACCACCAACAGAAACAAGCAAGTGCACTTTACACCAAATACACAGATACTGCCGCATGACTTTTGAACTCACCCCCCAGCCGTCGTCCCCCCAC